CCTCCCGGGTTCAAGCGATTCTCCTGCCTCAGCCTCCCGAGTAACTGGGATTACAGGCATGTTCCACCATGCCCTGCTAATTTTTTGTATTTTTAGTAGAGACTGGGTTTCTCCATGTTGGTCAGGCTGGTCTGGAACTCCCGACTTCAGGTGATCCACCTGCCTTGACCTCCCAAAGTGCTGGGATTACAGGCGTGAGCAACCACACCTGGCCGGAATCTTAAAAAGTTTAATACATGGAAGTAGGGTAGAATGGTGGTTACCAGAGACAGGGAGGTGGGAGAAAAGGGGATCTGTCGGTCCAAGAGTACAAAGCTGCAGTTATGTGATTATAGTTAATAATACTGTATATTGGAAATTTGTGAAGAGAGTGTATTTCAAGTGCTGTCATCTAACTATATGAGAAGATTGATGAGTTCATTAGTTTGACTGTAGTAATTTTTAACTATGTGTGTATATATATACAAACACACATGTAGGGTATATATATACAAACACACATGTAGATTTTCATATATATGAATCAAAACAGGCTGTCCACTTAAATATATTCAATTTTATTTTAAAAATAAAAATGTGAGACAAAGAAAAAAAGCATGCATATAGTCTTAAACTCAATTACCAATATAAATAAGTGCACTGCTAATCAGAGCAGTGAATTAAATGTCAGTTACATTTGTTTGCTTATATTGTAAACTTTCCTTTTATTTTCATGTGTTTTCTATTTATAATTATGCAAATACTTAATGAGTTCACAATGCTACTATATATTAAATATGCTCACCAGATTTGAGAGGTGATGAATGTTACAAGTTTTAGGTCATAGTCACTGTAAGAATGTTCCCTTGGGAAGTGTTATTTTCTGTTGGTTTGTATTTTAAAACATTCACCACCACCAAGAGATAGCCTGGGTTTTTCTCATCTTCACCCACCATAAAGACTGTTATAATGAATGCCTCTGAGCATATATCAGTATGGGCAACTAAGCATACTTGTGACAGACAGTTTCTCAGATTTGGAATTGCTGATCCAAAATCAATGAGTTCCTGAGGTCAGCCCAGTTCTAGCACAGGCAGAGACAGAAAGCCTGCAGGAAAGTTTGGCCTTGGGGTGGAGCTCAAGGGGAGAGGTGCATTCCCCATGGGCGTAAGTGGGGAATACCTATACTCAAACTTTCACAGGTATCTAGTACCTCTAAACCCAGGGAGGCTTTTCTGTCTATTCTGATTGCATAGGTGAATGATGGTGTCTTTCTCTCCATGAGTTAACGTTTACTTTCTCTGTTCTAAAACTAGTTCTTGACCGGGCATGGTGGCTCATGCCTGTAATCCCAGCACTTTGGGAGGTCAAGGCAGGCAGATCACGAGGTCAAGAGATCGAAACCATCCTGGCCAACTTGGTGGAAACTCTGCCTCTACTAAAAATACAAAAAATTAACTGGGCATGGGGGTGGGTACCTGTAGTCCCAGCTACTTGGGAGGCTGAGGCAGGAGAATTGATTGAACCTAGGAGGCAGAGGTTGCAGTGAACCAAGGTTGCGTCATTGTACTCCAGCCTGGAGACAGAGCGAAACTCCGTCTCAAAAAAGTTGGCCTTCCGGTGTCCAAAATGCTGTCATCTCTTCTTCCACAGTTTGTCTGTGTGGGTTTGTAGCTTTAAAAACTTCATTTCACTGTTTTTTTTTTTTAAGGATAATTGGAGGGGGAAATAAAAATTTTTGGATCCCTCTTCTTTCACAGGAAGTTGTGAACCATTTTTCATTTACACAAACATTTAAAAACAATTTTTCTACCTTTTTGACAGCTACATTGCATCCCATAGTATAATACTCTTATTTAACCATCTACTATTGTTAGCCATTCGAATCATTTCTTATTTTATACTATTGTCAACTTCACTGAGGTGGCCATCTGATACATATATCTTTGGGCTCATTCAGAATTATTCCTAGAGAATAGTGCTTTAAAATAAAGGTTTTATTATTATTTAGGTATGGCAGGGCCCACAGATCAGATGTCAGACATTGAAAAAGCAATTTGGGACAGGTGTGGTGGCTCATGCCTGTAATCTCAGCACTTTGGGAGGCTGAGGTGGATGGATTACCTGAGGTCAGGAGTTCGAGACCAGCCTGACCAACATGGTGAAACCCCGTCTCTACTAAAAATACAAAAAAATTAGCTGGGCATGGTGGTGGGTGCCTGTAATCCCAGCTACTCAGGAGGCTGAGGAAAGAGAATCGCTTGAACCAGAGAGATGGAGGTTGCAGTGAGCCAAGATCATGCTATTGCACTCCAGCCTGGGAGACAAGAGTGAAACTCCATCTAAAAAAAAAAAAAGAAAAGAAAAGAAAGACAAAGAAAGAAAGAAAGAAAGAAAGAAAGAAAGAAAGAAAGAAAGAGAGAGAAAGGAAAGAAAGAAAGAGTAGTTTGTTACTCGCATATCCCAAGACAAGGGTGCACTCCATGCCATGGGAGCAGGAGGCTACACAGAGAACGCTGGAGTCTGTCAGAAGGTGGTGGGGATGGGGGATGTTGCAAGAGGTGTTGCTGTGGTTTCCATGGGAAGGAAGAGGTGAGGCAGGGTGAGCAGGTTTAGGATTGGTTAGTTCGAACAATTTCAGTGGGCTCTGTGGCATTGGGGCTGTTCCATCTGGTACCTAGCTCCTGGGGTGATAAGGATGTGAGGCTATTAGTCCACAAAGGAGGCCCCACAGGATGTGAGAGCCCCACAAAGGAGGTGGTTGGGGATGTGGGCTCTGGATTGGTGAGTTTGTATATGAAAGGCACACTAAGAGATAAGTGGCTTATATCTCTAGGAATTGGCTAAACCTGGGAGGAGCAGTCCCTACAGGAGCAGTAAAGCCCTGGATGTCAAAGTATCAGAATGGAGATCACAAAGAACACGGTTAATAAAAAATAGCTAGGGCAAAAGGGATGCTCCTTTGAAATGTTAGGATAGATTTTGCCAAATTGCCCCCAAGAAAGCTTGAACTAATTGATCTCTCACATCAATGGTGAAAGTTCCTGTTTTTCTATATTCTTGCCACTAGGCACTACCACCAAAAGAGTAGTGGTAAAAATCCTTGCAAATTCAGTAGGTGCCATTTCGGTATCTGGTTTGAATTTGCGTGTCTTGGTGTGCATGCTGTTGATCTGTCAAAAAGGTATTTTGTGGATGTGAAGACCCCTTGGAGCTTGGTTGGTGGGATGGAGAGGACTGTGGGCTGTACCCACCCTGATGTGCTCCTGGCCTCCATAGAAGGACAGCTATGTGTGAAGTTTCAGAAGAGCTACAACTTCCCCACCCCAGCTGCAACCCAGCCCATGAAGGATTCTAGAGATTTCATCCCTTGCATGACCTTCTAAAGTGAGAACACAGGGCCAGCATCAGTAGCTCCTGGGATTTGGGCAGATCTTTGTGCAGTCCAGCTTCTTGGAGAAGCTTATGTCATTTATGCTTGCTGTGTCCTGTGTAAGCCCCAAAGCCAAGCTTTCACAAGCGTAGGACTTAGGCATCTTTGAAAAGGAGAAGTTTACCTTCTACCCTCCTGATGAGTGAGTAAGAGGTTCCCCTTGCGAATAACTACTGGTTCCTCCAGATGGCTTGGCTGCTTTTGCCAGGCTCTACTTTTAGGAGCACGCTTCTCAGAATTAAGGCCTTTCAGCATCTCTCCATTCTCAGAATTAAGGTCATTCTCAGAATTAAGGCCTTTCAGCATCTCTCCATTGTCCAGGGATGAAGTCTGTTCTCCTTAGCTTGGCATTGAAGCTCTCTGTCCTCCATTCACCCTTCCAGTCCAACTGGCCTCCCCAAGAAGCCCCTGAATCTGCCTTGTACCAATGCTAATTTCTTCTCTGCCTCTCCAAATTTTGCCCATCTCTCAATACCCAGTACCATCAAGAGACATCACAGTTTTGGGTATTAACATATATGAACACCGACAGTTCTCAGGGCAAGAAAACACATAGAACTTGCCTCTCTATGGAGGCCACTCTATTCACCTGGATGTTGACAATGTAATCTATAGTTTGAATTTACAGAGCTCTTTCCAGATTATAATTCAATCTTAGCTTTTCTGAGTCTAAATTTTTACATTGCTTCCTGAATCATTTTTTTCCCATTTTACTCTTAACAGGCTAAAGGAAGGCTTAATAGAGTAGTGCTAATGAATAGGATCTGGGTTTATAATCAAGCTTTTGTGATTTGAATCAAAGAAATACAAAAACTTAGTGTTTATCAGAGTGTAGTGCACTTATTCCTGGAGTTATGCAAGATAATTTTAGATAGAATACAATCTATAAAGCACTTATATAATGGATGAGTATTTATTTTGCTGTGTATTAGGGGAAAAAAGCTTACTATCGAGTCCATGGTTTAATGCATATTACCCGTGGCAAGGATTGCTGGCAGTCTGTTAAAATCTCTCCCACCTGACTGTAAACTAGTTCGACCATTGTGGAAGACAGTGTGGCGATTCCTCAAGGATCTAGAACTAGAAATACCATTTGACCCAGCCATCCGATTACTGGGTATACACCCAAAGGATTATAAATCATGCTGCTATAAAGACACATGCACACATATGTTTATTGCGGCACTATTCACAATAGCAAAGACTTGGAACCAACCCAAATGTCCATCAATGATAGACTGGATTAAGAAAATACGGCACATATACACCATGGAATACTATGCAGCCATAAAAAAGGATGAGCTCATGTCCTTCGTAGGGACATAGATGAAGCTGGAAACCATCATTCTCAGCAAACTATCTCAGGGACAACAAAAACAAACACCGCGTGTTCTCACCCATAGGTGGGAATTGAACAATGAGAACACTTGGACACAGGAAGGGGAACATCACATACCAGGACCTGTTGTGGGGTGAGGGGAAGGGGGAGGGATAACATTAGGAGATATACCTAATGTAAATGACAAGTTTTGGGTGCAGCACACCAACATGGCACATGGATACATATGTAACAAACCTGCACATTGTGCACATGTACCCTAGAACTTAAAGTATAATTACAAAAAAAAAAAGGAATTTTGAAGACAACAACAAAAAAATCTGTCCCACTTTCCTTTGTACACAGCCAGATTACATTTTTCAGCCTTGGTTGCAGTTAGATTGAGCATGTGAATAAGTTCTCGCCAATGTCCTCTGAGTGGGAGTGGAGAGTGCCACAGCCAGGCCTGGCCCATACAAATGCTTCATAGTCACACTTCTGCTCCTGCCTTTTCCAGGTGACGGGGGATTGACACCTATGGCAACTTCAGAAACCATGAGTTAAGGATGGCAAAGCCACCATAGTCTAGATTAGGAGTGAGTAAACTACAGCTTGAGGGCCAGATCTGGCCCATTGTCTTTTTAAAAATAAAGTTTTATTGAAGCACAGCCATGCCTATTTGCATAGGTATTGTTGAAGGGCTACCTTTACTACCACAGCAGTTGCCACAGACAGCCCATGGCCTGCAAAGCCCAAAGTATGTACTATCTGACCATTTATAGGGAAAGTTTGCCGACACCCTAATTTAGATCTCTGAATGACCATATGGAGGACAGTCACCTTATTGACCTGAACAACACTCTAGGCCTTTACCTAAGTGGAAAATAAGCCATTGAAATTTAGGGCCTATTTGCTACCATAGTTTACCCTACTCTCACTAATAAGTCTTGCTCAGCAGTCTCAAGGTGATTGCCTGATGAATATACATGGCCCGATTTCCAGTTGTTTGAGCCAATGAGGCTGACTAGTTATGCCCACGGAAGTACAACTCTCTTCTCTACGACCCATCGCCAGGCCAAAATTTCCACCAGATGCTCTGACCAGTCGGTCCCAGGACCTGATTGACCTCAGGGAGTCTGACCCCCTAGGTATAACACAGCATCATGGGCCTGGGAAGGTATAAACATAATACAACTCCTGCCTGATGAACTGAATGTTAACAGGAAGATGTTCCCTGAAGCTCAAGGAAATGACTTTGGTGACAGTGACCCTTGCCAGAGCCAATGGCTTGTCACCTACCTGGTGGTCATGATGGTGATCACGGCTGTTCCTGCTTTCATGTAACTAACTTGCCTTCAGTGGTTCACTTTTCCCATTAAGTGAATTTCTTCGGTGATACAATTTTGTAAACTAGAAGTGTTTTTACTGTCATTTCTTTATGTACTTTTTATTTTTACCTTCATTTTAATTTTAAAAACTGCACTCACGTTTTCCTTGCATACCTCTAATTATTGCAAGTTATACAGGTTTTGTTAACAGGAAGATGTTCCCTGAAGCTCAAGGAAATGACTTTGGTGACAGTGACCCTTGCCAGAGCCAATGGCTTGTCACCTACCTGGTGGTCATGATGGTGATCACGGCTGTCCCTGCTTTCATGTAACTAACTTGCCTTCAGTGGTTCACTTTTCCCATTAAGTGAGTTTCTTCGGTGATACAATTTTGTAAACTAGAAGTGTTTTTACTGTCATTTCTTTATGTACTTTTTATTTTTACCTTCATTTTAATTTTAAAAACTGCACTCACGTTTCCTTGCATACTCCTAATTATTGCAAGTTATACAGGTTTTACACTTAAGGAAATGGTATGAAGTCTCCTTTTTGAGTGAGCATGCTGAAGTAAAAAGAGTGACTTCATTTAAAGAAAACTGCTCATAGAAGTACAGATGATACGCTGATAAGGCAAAAAACCATGATATTAGTATGAGAATAACTGAGGTTCCAGAAACACTGCATTCGCCTAGGCTGCAGTGGAGAATGTTATAGAATCCTGAATTCACAGAGTGTGGAGCCACAGTGAAGGGTGCATGAGAGAGCCCCTCCCCGAGAGCCACCCCCTGTCTTTCCACAAGGAATCCACAAATGTCACCTACTGGATTTCAGACTCTGCCTCCCAGTTCAGTGTTCTCCGCCACAAAATCTGCACCTGATCAATCCCATGGTTCACAGACCAAGCTGAGTGAGGGGCCTAGCAGGACATGGCTTGCTGTGACCCAATGCCTGCTTTAATATGCTTTCATATATCTGAGTAAATTGATGGGAGGTGGGAGAGGTTTGGGAGTTCATTTGAAGCCCCCTAGATATGCCGATTAAGTTTTACGAATTAAGCGAGGCAGGTTATTCTTGTGATTTTTATTTATTGCCATGTAGTTCCACATGGGAAACCAGAGGTTCTCGAAAAAGCAATAACCCAAATAACTCATTTAAACAAGAGACATATTACGTACAGCTGAGGTGATGCAGGGGCGTTATACATATTAAACAAAAATGAGATCTATTGTGAGGCGTGGCATGCTCCAGCCTCACCTATCAATCTGCAAGTCGCCTTTGAACCAGAAATGGGCTTCAGAGGCTGCAGCCTGACCCTGGCAAAACCTAGGAGTGGCCAAAAAATTCTCTGTCTGCAGAATTGTGGGTATACACGCGGGCATGTGTTGATCTTGTGACTGTGAGAAGAACTAATCCTTACCTTTACATTTTGGGAGCACAGCACCATAAATCTTCATAGGCCAAGAGCCAGGGCTGTTTCCCCCTGGATTGCAAATAGCTGGGCTAGGGAAACAGGCAGGATGGTTAACAGTGCTTTGTGCATGCGTGCATGTGTGTGTTGAAGGTAAATGGGACTAGCCTTGTGGATGTGTGGTGGTATTGTGGTGGACCCCTACTGGACACTCTGCCGGATAACTGGAGTGGCACTTGTGCTTTAGTCCAGTTGGCTATCCCTCTCACCTTGGCACCATCAACTAGAGGAAGGAAAATAAGACATCGTAAAGTGAGAGAAGCCCCTTATGGGTCTTTCAACTCTCTGCGTCTAATTAGACGAATTGAGGCCCCACGGGAGTACTAGATCAGTTTAAAGCCTGAAATCAAATAGCTGCAGGATTTGATTAATATTTTGGTGGGTGACAATAAATGATTGATAAACTACATCTATTACAACCAACAGTGCTTTATTAACTACACAAGAGATGCTGTTAAAGGAATAGCTGAGCAATTATGGGCTACTAGCCAGATGGCTAGAAAAATAGGATAGTCTTAGACATGATATTAGCAGAAAGAGGAGGAGTTTGCATCATGATTAAAACTCAATGTTGCTCCTTCATCCCAAACCACACTGCCCCTAAGGGAAGTATAACAAAGGCATTGCAAGGTCTGACTGTTTATCCAATGAGTTAGCCAGCAACTCAGGGGTAAGTGACCCCTTTACAGGATGGCTAGAAAAGTAGTTCCGGAGGCTGAGGCAGGTGGATCACGAGGTCAGGAGTTCAAGACCAGCCTGGCCAACATGATGAAACCCCATCTCTACTAAAAATTTAAAAAAATTATCCAGCCATGGTGGCGCATGCCTGTAGTCCCAGCTACTCAGGAGACTGAGGCAGAAGAATCGCTTGAATCCAAAAAGGCGGAGGTTGCAGTGAGCCAAGATTGCGCCATTGCACTTTAGCTTGGGTGACAAGAGCAAAACTCTGTCTCAAAACAAACAAAACACAAAAACAAAACAACAACAACAACAAAAACACCATAATGCAATACTACTTCAAATCCATTAAAATAGTCAGCTATTTAAAAACAGCAACAACAGAAAATAACAAAATAAAGATGTCGAGAAATTGCAACCCTCAGCATTGCTGGTAGGAATGTAAAACGGTGTAGACACAGTGGAGAACATGACAATGCTTCAAAAAATTAAACATAGAATTACATATGATCTAGCAATTCTACCTCTGGCATATAATTTAAATAATTGAAAACAGACTTGAACAGATATTTTTACAACTGTGTTCATTGCAGCATTATAGCCAATAGCCAATTGTAGCTAACAGCCCATTTATTTGTTGCATAACAGCTAAAGGGTGAAACAACACAAATGTCCATTAATGAATACATGGATAAACAAAATGTGATATATACATACAACAGAACATTATTCGGCCTTAAAAAAGAAGGAAATTCTAATGTATAGTACAGCATATAGGAACCCTGAGAACTTGCGCTACGTGAAATAAGCCAGACAAAAGGACAAATATTTGTATGATTTCATTTACATTGAGTAACCAAAGTCATTACACCAAAAACTCAGTCATAGAGGCAGAAAGTAGAATGGTGGTTATTGGGGTCTGGGAGAAGGATTATATGTGGGTTATTTTAATAGGTACTAAGTTTCCGCTAGATGATAAAACATTCTGAAGATGTATAGTGGTGATGTTTACAACAACATGAATGTACTTAATGCCATTGAACTATACACTTGATAATGGTTAAATGGTAAATTTTTTTATGAAGCATAATCACAAGGTTTTAAATTTAAAAAAAGAGTATTACCATTTTATTTATAAATATTTGTGAATTTTCTAGATTTCCTTTTGTTTTTTTTTTTTTTGTTTTTTGTTTTTTGGTTTTTTTTGAGACGGAGTCTGCTCTGTCACCCAGGCTGGAGTGCAGTGGCTGGATCTCAGCTCACTGCAAGCTCCACCTCCCGAGTTTACGCCATTCTCCTGGCTCAGCCTCCCAAGTGGCTGGGACTACAGGCGCCCGCCCGGCTAGTTTTTTGTATTTTTTTAGTAGAGACGGGGTTTCACCGTGTTAGTGATGGTCTCGATCTCCTGACCTCGTGATCCGCCTCTGCCTCGGCCTCCCAAAATGCTGGGATTACAGGCTTGAGCCACCGCGCCCGGCCTAGATTTCCTTTTGTTATTGATTTCAATTTCATTCCTTGTGGTTGAAGAAGATACTCTGCATGATTTCCATCCTTTTACATTTATTGGGATTTGTTTGGTGGCCTAACATATGGTTTGTTCTGGAGGATGTTGCATGTGCACTTGAGAAAAATGTGGAATCTAATATCACAGGGTGGAGTATTTGGCTGCATTTAAAATAGTTGATTTAAAGTCTATTATTTTAGAAGTTCCATTACTCCCTATAGCTAAAATGTTTGTTCTATTACTACATATGGCTAAGATGCTGGGGAAGACATTTCTAGAAAGAAAACTCTCCTGGGGGATGGGCTCCCAGAAAATTATAGAGAGATGGGAATTTTCTATCTGGTCCTGAGGAAGGGGCAGAATGGAACAACAACTGATCAACATTCCCAGACTCTGAAAGGCAGGGTGAATGGCAGGTCATCATGGTACAGTCTCCATCCAGGCACACCTGGGAACGCCTCCATGAGGAAACAGAGGCAGAGGAGGCAGCTGCAGTCAGTAGACAACATAGATCCCTTGGCCACCAGCCCGCTGGGCTGTGGTCCTGAAGCAGGGTGCTCAGAGACTCACCTCTGTGATAATTGAGCTGTGATCAGCCCATGGACCACAAAGAACACATCTCCAAGCAAATCTGGTAGAAGACTGTCTCGATTTCAGTCAAGGAGTGCTTGGTTGGCAGTAGAAGTATTCACTAGCCACAGAAGGCAAATACTGGAGCGGGACATGCTGTGAAAAAGTCGTAGTCATAAGAGATGCAGGTCAACCACAATGGCTAACATTAATAAACACTACCTGTGCAGGTATGATTCTGAATGCTTTACCACATTGTTTCATTTAACCCACACAGCAACCTCTATGATGCAAACATCAAAACTAGCCCCATTTCACAGATTACAAACTGAGGCTTAGAGAGGTGAAGTGGTTGGCCTGGGTAACTGGAAGAACCATGATTCTTTCGCAAGTGTGGCCTGCATCCAAGTCTCATGCTCCTGACCATAGGCCTCTCGCGTGTCACAGAATGAGTCACTCATGCGCAGAACTGCTGCATCATCTATGGGGCTCAATGCAAAAGTAAAAACATAGGCTCCTTGTTCAAAAATCATTAAGAATTTCAAGATGGTGACAGCGGAGCATTAAACCAAAATGTAGGACCCTCTGAGCAACAAGATCCTCTGTGGACTAGGGCAGAACATCCATGAAACCACTCCTGCTCTGGTACCAGCGCTGCTTCCAGCCCTTAGCTTTATCTTACTCTAAGCTAGTTGGTCTCTTTGGAGCCTCAGCTTTCATCTGTGGTAGGGATGTGGAGGATTATACAAGATATGAAGAGAAAAGCATGCAGCTTGGCCCAGAGCAGGTCTTCAGTCCTGTCGGTTCACCCAGGCCCCATTGCTGAGTGCCTTAATAGGACATTTGATGCTTCTCTGACCTGGCACCAGCCTGCCTCCCAGGCTTCTCCCTCTCAACTTTTCCCAAGCACAAATGGCAAAGAGAGCATGGTAAATTCTATGAAGATTCAGGGATCTGGTGCTCTGGGAAATGCTGGAAAGGTGTTGTAGCTCAAACCCCTACCACTAAGACAGCAGCACAGCCCTTGACAGGTTTCTTTGGAATTTGAGGGCAAGGTATGTACATCACATTGGGGAATGCTGCTCAGACTCGTTTATCGGGTCCTCAGGAGACTGGTGGTTTTTAATCAGGCCAGAGCAAGGGAGGCCTCTGCAGCAGGTCCAGTCTATGGCGTAAGGGCCTGGCCTCTTTGGCCATATAACCAGCAGACCCCATGGTGCTGGAGGTGTCCAAGTAGTATAGATGCTGTGTGGAGTCTCAGGTGAACTCCCCATAGACAGAGTAAAGTCCTAGGGTTCTGGAGCAAGGCTATGCCTTCTGTATCAGCAAACTACTTACTGTTTGAAATGCAGCCCCTAGCACACTACCGCACCTAGGAGAGACACATGCCCTTCCGTCTCTC